CCCCCGTGTCCCTTGCTCCCCCACTTCCTCAGCTGCTGGCCTACCCAAGAATGAGCTTCGCCTCAGTCCTGGTGAAGGTGAGGCAGCCCAGGCTGAGGACAGCACGTGGTCCTGGCAGTTCAGAGATGTCCCCTCACCCCCACCCCCACGGCAGCCAGCCTCCTTTCCTGATGGGGTCCCAAGGTGGCACTTGCCAAGGGACCCCAGTCCAGCAGGCCAGAAGTGGGGAAACCTACTGACCGTTGTAATAAACTGCCCCTCCACCCCCCGCAAGGGTCACAGCTGTAGGAAAGGACAAGAGAACAAGACATGGGCTGGAGGGGTCAGGGAGAAAACCTTCCCATGTCATCTGCGGGAAGAACAGGAAAGGGGAGGAAGGGAAAGAATAATCTCAGTCCGGATGTTTGTTCAAGCTGTAAAAGTCCTCAGGAAAGTCAGAGAACGGGAGGCAATGAAACTTTATGCCTCATGAGGGCAGACATTTTTTTTACGACAAGGTGGCAACTGGAGTCTTGTTTTCAAGATATAATTCGTATGCTGCACAATTCACCCTTTAAAGTGCACAAGTCAGCGGAGTTGGTGTATTCACAAGGTCGTAAACCCACAAGGTTGTGTAGTGACGACCGCGACGTAATCCCAGAACACTGTCATCCCCTCGAAAGGAAACCCATGCCCGTTAGCACTCACCTCCCTCCTCCCAATCCTCTGGCCCAGACAACTCCTCGTCTACGATCAGTCCCTGTGGGGTCCCCTGTTCCGGACATTTCATATAAATGAAATCATACACCATGTGGTCTTTCTGTGACTGGCTTCTTTCACTTAGCGCCACGTTTTCAAGGTTTATCCGTAGAGCGGTAGGTATCAGCACATCATTCATTCTTATGCCGAATGACATTCCACTGTAGAGAATACACTGTGTTTTATTTACCCGTCCATCAGTCGGTGGACATCCGGACTGTTTCCACTTCTTGGCTGTTCCGAACGATGCCGCTATGGACATTCCCATTACCGGTTTTTGTGTCAACATGTGTTTTCAATTCTCTCGGGTATACACCTCGAGGTGGAACTGCTGGGTCACACGGGAACTGTACGTTTAACACTTTGAGGAGCTGCCAAGCTGACGGCAAAAGTGGCCCCTTTTACATCCTGCCCAGCCGTGTATGGGGGCGTGGCCACTACTCCACAGCCTCCATGAGAGGAGACTGCAGTCCAGCACTGATGGGACTAGAATAAAAGCGACGATAGCAAGCATCCATGGAGCGCTTCACACACGCAGGTACACAGTGCCACTGCTTTATATGCAACATCTAATCTCCAGGACAGACGACCACAGGAGATGAGGTCTGCCTCCCTGAACAAGTCCCCCTCTGCCACTTTCTGGAAAGACCATGGGGCTTCCCCTTAGGCTAAGATGGAGCCAGCAACACATCTGGAATGAGAAATCGCTCACAGAAAAATAAAATCCAAGCCAAACCCAAGGTGAAAGGCTAACTGAGCCAAATTTAAACCAGGGTGGGAAAATGTCCACAAATAAGTGAGCAAGGAGACAGTGGGGTGAAGGTAAAGGCAGGGAGGGACGGCCTGCCCTCAGACTGGGGCGGCCAGCACTCCCAGCCCCCCGGGGCAGAGAAGGCACACCAAACCCTCATCCAGGGCTATCATCCCTGCCTCTTGCTGTGGTTTCACACTGCCATAAGAGGGAGTTAGCAAAAACAGAAAGGGAGGCAAGTAGAATGAACCTAGGACATTGTTGTATTGGACTATAACTGGGAGTGTGAGATTTTCAAGATATATATATTGAATATAAGGGGGGGGGAGAGTCATGGAAATGGAGATGTAATGGGGGGGGGGTGGTGATGGAGTACTCAGATATTCCCTATTCTGGCCA